TTTTTGACATCTTTGAATACACAAAAGAATCAGAATAGGGAAAATTTACGAGTCGACTTTCTATTCAACTGCGATAATGTGAATATCATACTAATTCAGATTAGTTGATCGGTTCAATTACCGTAATCGTTTCTATTCTAGCAATCGATTTTCGGATTTTTAATCAAAATAATTTACCTAAAGGTTTCCAAAATGCCCTGAATTTTAGATATAAAAAGTCGATGGTTTCTACCTGGAAAGAAAAGATAATTTTAATTTTTTAGTTTAGATATTTCCCTTGAATTTATTGTAAAGACGACAATAATTTTTAGAATTCCGAAATCCTAAACTTTCTGCTTACCTTGAATAAATGAACATAACCTCTTACTATGTCAATTCGAATTGATACATAATTTTTTCTTTTTTTTTTTTTTTCCTTTTGCATTCTATTTAAAGAACTGAACTGTTAAGAATATCACTTATAATTTTCCTCAAATTATGTACACTTTAAAAAGTTCAAAAGAGTCTACGCAAGATTCAAAAATTACCGACAAAAATATACCTGCCATAACGTTACCTTCCTCCTCACCGAAATTTTTATCCTCTCCAATTTCCTATTTATCCAAACAATTTCGTGGATTCTTGATAAAAACGCTACAACATGGACCTATTCCTCAACACATTGGATTTATTATGGATGGTAATAGAAGATTTGCAAGAAAGGTTAAAGTTCAAACTACAAAAGGACATTATATGGGTTTTGCTAAAATGGAAGAGGTAAGTCATTTTTAATTTATTAACAACATGATATCATGAAATCGAATTAAATAATTATTATTTAGGTGTTAGATATTTGTTTACAACTTGGAATAAAAGTTGTCACTGTATATGCATTTAGTATAGAAAATTTTAAACGACCAAAAGAAGAAGTAGATGCACTCATGCAACTGGCCAAGGAAAAATTAAAACAATTGTGTCAGAATAGGTAATTCTCGATTTGAATCATAACTTCCTTGTTATAATATAAATTTTAAATCGCATAATATTCCAGTCAGATAGTGAAGAAACATGGAATTGGCATAAGAATATTGGGAAATATGTCATACCTTCCGCAAGATTTGAGAGAGGTTATGGAAGAAGCCATCGAAACGACCAAAGATAATAATCGGTAAGTTAATTACTCTTTAAAAGGGGTAAATTGATTCATATATTAACAAAGTTCCTAAATAATAGATCCATATTAAATATATGCGCTCCTTACACTTCAAGAGATGAAATAACAAATTCTGTAAAGAAGATTGCAAAGATGGTAGACAATAAACAGATTCAGATTGAAGATATTGATGAAAATTTAATAGAACGATGTTTATTTACTCATGGATGTCCTCCTTTAGAAATTCTTATTCGAACATCAGGTGAAATTCGATTAAGTGATTTTCTCTTATGGCAATGTCATCAAGACTGTTATATACATTTTGAGAATTGCTTTTGGCCCGAATTTTCAATTTGGGAGATGTTACGAATAATTCTAGAGTATCAACTTATTTATGAGACTATAAAAGAAAAGAGGAAAAAATCTCAACAAATTCTTATTAATAATTATATATCAGTATCTTCGGGATCATAATTTTCATCAATAAGTCTATACAAATATGAAGGAGGATGCCCACCACTATAAATTGAATTGTATCAAAAGTTATTCATAAATCCATTAAAATAATAAAAATGACGAATAATATTTCATAAAACTTACGTATTTGTGATGAATAAACTAACAAGCTCAGGTGAAACATAATCGTAATAGGGATTTATGAGGGTAACTTTATCAATTAAATCTCCTTCATCGAAACGCATCACTGAATCAGGAGCAACCATGTCATTAAACGAATCTTCGTCATATGGATAAAGGGGAGATAATTTATATAATCCTGTACAAACTACAACTGGAGTGGAATGATGTTTCGCCGCTGTGGCAACCATTTGAGCGCCGCTGACAGAGATTAATCCACCATTTGCAAGCACTTCATAGAAAGTCAATATACTTTATCATCTTGAATATAATAATACGTTTAATTAGATTTATAATATCTACCTGCATGAGTTCCCATTATAACTTTATTCACTCTTGACATGACAGCAAAGATGGCTGAATCAGAAATCACTGTTGTATCAATTCCTGCTTGTGACAGGGATAAAGCCATTTCATGTCCAAGATATCTAAAATAGAAATCACGTTGCAAATAAAATCCTATTATCGTTCAAAAGGATTTCAAATAAAATATAACTGACGTTGGTGACGTTTCTGCAACTACGACTGAGAATTTTCTTTTCTTTGCTGCGGCTTTCAAGAACATTTCAACTGTTCTTGATTTTCCTACTGTCATTATAATTTCGCTAAAATTATTTTCAAAATTAGGTTGATATACAAATATATAAGTGATACGATTACGACAACACGTACTTCGAATGAATGTGTTCCATGGCTTGATCTGCAATATTGACATACATATTCTCAAGTTCATTAATCATCTCTTGTAATTCGGAGATTATTGAAGGCTTTAGATGTGAAAATGAATGAGTTAAAAAATTCAAAATTTCTATAATAATAATAAATGATAGAGATATATATTTTTTAAAAAAGGATATTAAAACACTTTTTATCATAATCTAATGAAGTTTGCCTCCCTCCCAAAGGAGATCCATCTCCCAGCAAATTAATCATAGAGGCTGATGAAGAAAAGAAACTAGAACCCATGAAGGAATTCGATCCACCATAACTTTGTAATTCGTAAAGTCTGCCACCTTTTTGAGGAACAGATTTAACCTTATTGTCATCATCATTATCATCATCATCGTCGTCGTCCTCTCCCTCTTCTGTGGAAGATGCTTTATTTAAATTGACGCTATTACTGGACACTTCAGAATTATATACATCACGTATCAAACGTAGTACACGACGAACAATATTTCCTACCGCAAGTTCTAAATTGTATTATAAATTCTTCAAATTTATCCACTTTTAGTTATCTCAAGTTATTAAAATAACTCATACCTCTCGGTTGAGCCATAACCAACCTCCTTCCAACATCTTTCACTAATTTAATCAGCGTGCCGACTTGACTCCATCGTGTAACCGAAACCACTTGTCGGAAAAGTAAGGCTGTCTCAAGTGAGACGGACCAAGAACCGACAACTTGTCTATTACATAATTTATATTTAAACTAGGTCATAGGTATGAAAAGGTAATAAAGTTCCTTACCGTCGTCTTAGGCGGTTTATCAGACTCTCAATTTGAGCAGTTAGATCTCGCGACCCTGTCATTGTATAAGCAATAAATATGATGCAAATAAAAAATTTTTTTTTTTTTTTGATCTTTTTATTCGGATGATCATGTGATTTCATACATGTAATTAAACTGATAATTTTTTTTTTCCAATCTGATTTACTAACATCTACTTTTCTACTTTTTAGAACAAAACATATATTTTTATCTATCATGAAGGAACTTTTTACGGAAACTTCTCAATATCGTAACTGGTATTATTCAAAAGAACAATTACAAGAAATTCGTGAAAAAAACTATACGTCAGCTGTAAAACGAGTAAAACAAAAGGTGTTGGAAGAATTTGTAGGTGGAAAGTATTTAATGTATGTAATGAGAATTACATTCAAAATAAAGTTATTTAGCTTTTTTTTAGGAATTGCAAAAACAAAATTCTGCAAAATCAACGCCTACACGTGGAGAACAACCTGAACGAGTAAATTCTCCGCGTATAAATCCGTCCGAAATCGAATATTTAAAAATGGAAGATGAATTAGCATTGTGTAATTATTATCAAACACAAATCGGTCCTTTGGCAAACCAATTTCCCGAGGAAATTCGAAAAAATAAATTCACAGATAAAGTGAAGGTAATTACATTCTTATATTTAGAGTTCAATTCTATAAACATGTAATTTATTATTAATATCATATATTAGGCAAGTGCAATAACATATGTAAAGAGATTTTATTTGCGGAATACCATCATGGACTATCATCCTAGGGATATAATGTAAGAAACATGTACATATTTACTAAACATATAAATATAATCAAACCATCAAGTTAACTCATAAATAATAAAATTTATAGTATAACTTGTCTTTTCCTCGCTGCAAAAACCGAATTCTCATTTGTAGCCATTGAGGATTTCATTAAATTGTTTCCTAGAGTGACCAAGGAGGTTATTTTCGATTTAGAATTAACAGTTGCGCGAAGTTTAAGATATGAATTTGCTGTCCATCATCCGTATCTTGGGGCGTACGGATTATTTCTGGATATGCAGGTACGTATTAGATTTTCAAAAAGAAATTGTATGGCAAATAAATTATTATCCAATATTAATGCTATTTATACAATAAAGACGGTTTTAAAAGATGCGAAAAAAATACAAGTCGTATACGAAAAATCTAAAGAATTTATTCACAGATCTCTTTTCACTGACACAATGTTTCTTTACCAACCATCACAAATTGCATTGGCGACAGCACGTATGGCTGCCAAAGAAATAAATCTTGATTTGAATAGGTAAAGAATTGATTGTATATACATTTTATTCTCTTATAATTAGGAAATATATTTATTAATCAGAAACTCTTTTAGTTATTTACGTGCAAAATTTAACTCAGAACCAGATAGACTAGATAATTTATATAAGACACTTGATGAAATTGAAAGGACAATAAAAGAATATGAACCCACACCTGTTAATAAAGCGAAAGAAATTGATGCTAGGTTGCATAAATGTAAAAATCCCGAAAAAAATCCTAATAGTGCGATGTAAGTAACAAGAATTATCATCATCATTGATTATATAATATTCTAAGTTAGATTTGTTTTGCTACAAAAGTTCGAGGAAGAGAAAGCTTGAAAGAGAAGGACTTGAAAATGCTGATAATCATAAAAAAAAAAGAAATCAAGATGAATATCAAAAATCTTTAGAAGATGTATTTAAATAATTTGCAAGGTTTGTATATTCTAGCATTATAACCACAAGTTATTAATAGATTATTCTTTTTTTTAGTTCATACAAAGGTAACGTAATTAAATTTTTTTTTGATAATTTTATTTTATTGTATATATATTTATATTTTTTGGATTCTTGTACTGAAAAGAAGTTAAATAAATACAATTTCAACTACAAAAAGATTTTAATTATTTCAAATTCAAAAAATATATTGAATGACATTGCGCAATCAAATACTAAATGGTATCATTTATTACGCAATCAGAAAATAAAGTTTTTTTCAAATTAATAATAGTGACATAAATCAATATGACAAGTTTCCTTAATCAAAAAAATCAAGTACGTATTATTCGTAAATATGTTTATAATTTTAGTGATAAATTCTAAAAATACATTTACGTTTCTGGTTAAGATATCCGCAGTGGGAATATCTTTATACAGAATCGGAGTATAGTAATATTCATTTCTCCTCGTGACTACTTTATTATTCACTTTCACTCTTTCAAAAACTTGCTGAGTCCTAATTATAAAATAACTCGGTTTCTTTTTTCCTTGTCAAAATTCTTACCAGTTATAATTTGCCAATAACTTCTTTTTGTATATTATTTACCTTGTATTTATATATAATTTACAATAAATTTACTTGTTAGCGCTACTTCATCTTATTACATACTCGGAATGTCTTCTGTCACAAGATCTTCAGAGCCTATAAGTGTAGAGTGCTACTCTGTAGGTGCTGAAATTGGTCGGGGATCTTTTGCAACCGTTTATAAGGGCTATATTAAGGTAGTTTAAACGTCAACAATTTATAAAACAAAAAGAAACGTAGTTAACTTCTATTTACAAGTAACTCAAGTAACTACAAATGTTCTAAAATGTTCTTAAGTAGTCTTATACGTTTTATCATTTAAATCTCTTTACACAACTTTTACTTTTCAGAAAACACGTGCACCTATTGCCATAAAGTCTGTATTGCGATCTAAATTAACCAGAAAATTACTTGAAAATTTGGAATCCGAAATACAAATTCTTAAAGGAATTCGTCATGATCATATTGTTCAATTAGTTGATTGTAAGGTTAGCATAATTGAGATATTATAACTCATATAAACCCTTTTATTCGTTTACTTCCTCTGTTTGCTTTTCCGTTTGTTTATTAACAAAGTTCAATTATTTTTAAAAAGAAAACCGATTCTCATATTTACTTAATTATGGAATTTTGTTCTATGGGTGATCTGTCACATTATATAAAACGACGTGGTAATTTAAATAGCATCAACGCAGTCGATCCAGGTGCAAAACCTACCATGAGTGGCTTGAACGAATATGTTGTTCGTCATTTCCTAAAACAACTAGGTATTCAATATTCATCATTTTTATGGCATTAAGGAATTGTGTTCATGTTTTTTCCATGGATTTATATATACCTTATTATCAGTCAATTCGATTCTTATATATTTTCACTAAATTTTACTCGCTTATTTGTTCTCAGCAAATGCGTTGGAGTTTTTAAGATCACAAAACCTAATACATCGTGATATCAAACCTCAGGTGCCATTTTATACATTCATAGCATGAATACTTTTTTTGTTTATATATATGATTCTGTTCCTCATGTTATTATTATCTCGATTATATCAGAATCTATTATTGCTGCCGCCACCTGCCGATAAGCAAAAGGAATCCATCGTCGGTTCACCTGATCTTCCAATTTTAAAAATTGCTGACTTTGGTTTTGCTCGTATATTACCATCTACTAGTATGGCAGAGACATTGTGTGGTTCTCCACTTTATATGGCTCCAGAGATATTACGTTATGAAAAATATGATGCTAAAGCTGATCTTTGGAGCGTTGGTGCTGTTTTGTATGAAATGAGTGTTGGTAAACCTCCATTTAGGGCTGCAAATCACGTTGAGTTATTAAGAAAAATTGAAATCAGAGGTGATAAAGTTAGATTTCCTAATGAACCAATTGATTTAACAGAAGATTTTCAATCAAATCCTACAAAGACATCTACAACCAATAAAAACAGTGGTGTAACGTATCGAGTTATTAGTGAAGATATTAAAGATTTAATAAGACAATTGTTGAAACGTAATCCTGTCGAACGTATTTCATTCGAGGAATTCTTTATGCATGTGTGTGTTGCGGGGAGGTTAGAACCCATGCAACCAAAGCCTTCTGCTAGAACAGTGCATTCAAAAAATAGAACCAGTCATGATTCGAAAGGTGTTACTATAGCAGTAACGACAAACATCCAGGAAAATGAACTCAATAATAATCATGTTAGGGATAGGTCAAGATCATCTCCGGTTCCAGTAACTTCTAATAGTAACCAATTGGAAAATCCACAAATTCACACTAGATCTAATTCATCCCGTAAAGTCTGTGAAATATCACAGAAAGGCAACACAAATTTGGATTGTAATAATCCTTTACAAATAAAAAATTCTAGGTAAAATTTCATTTCATTTTGTAGCATTTATTTATCGTAAAATATTAATGATCTTAATTTTTTTTTTTTAAAAAAAAAATTTAACATTAAAGAAACACCAAATATTCAGATTCATCAACAACAGAAACAACAAGAAATAATGAAAATCATCTTCAAGTTAATTTAGATTTACAACCATCATATGATAATCCATCACCATCATCATCTTTATTAGTGCAAAAACCTTTGAATTTGGAAGCAAATCAGAAACGAAGTAATGAAAATGAAACTTCAACTGGTCGGTCAAATGGAGATGAATTAACCGGTTATGAATTTGAAAGAGAATATGTTCTTGTTGGATCGAAACGGACTGTAGAAGTCAATGAATTAGCAGATGGTATGAATAATTTTTTTTTCTCATTAAGAGTATTTTTTTTTTTCCTTAAACCAATTAAAGGGTATCGTTAGATAAATAGAACCATGAATATTGTATACCTTTTTATTGGTTAGCTTTGCATTCGTATCAAACAGAAATAATATATACTGCCTGAATATGATACAGAACTTGCCGCATCACCAAAACATCAATATGGAAATAAAGGTGCTATTGTACTAGCTGGTCTTTCCAACCAATCAGATCTCCAATATCGTACACCACCACCCAATGCAAACACTTCAGGATCTTACCTTCTTTCGACAACGCCACCTTTCGCTTTACCCATTACTATAAATCACGAGAGGGCCAATTCCGTTGGTAGCAACAATAGCGCGTCATCAGCTCTAGCGAGGGCTTTATCTGCCGCTTCAGATCGTTTGTTTGGAACAGGCAACTCTCCTCCATCTTGGAGTGACAAATATTCAAAACATAAAGGGAATGCTATTGTAATTCCTTCCGCTGATTTGATGAATGATCCCGCAGAGGTATTGTAGATGTCCTATAAGGAAAATTTTCAATGAATATTGCAAATAAATAAATAAACAAATATATATTTATTGTGATTATTTAAATCTAGGAGGCAGTTGTTAAAACAATTGAAGAACATGCACATAAAGCGTATGTCATTTTCCAGTTCGCTAAAACGAAATTTAATAAACTCTTGCCACCACCGCCATCATCCAGTAGCGACATGGTGGATGATACGCCTGTCTCAGATAATGTAGCCGTGGTATTCGCGGAGGAAGCGTTTGTTTTATATTTAAGGGCACTTGCTTTTTTGCAGGCTGCCATGGATAGTGCTAAAGAATATTGGACAAATGTAGGAGAAAAGAATTCAAATTATCCTGGTGGAAAACGAGCTTCTCCAAGATTAATTGCTGGTAAATTTTCTAAATAGTATTGTGTAGATTTTAAAATCATCATCTTCAATATATACAATGTATATAATTTTTTTTTTAAAAAAAAAAAATATATAAATATATAAAGCTGTACAATGGGTTCGTGCAAGGTTTAATGAATGTTGTGATAAGGCAGAATATGCTAAATCAAATTTTCCAATCGAAGAAAATGTTATAGTAGAAAGACTTCTCTATGATCGAGCACTTGAAATGGTAACATATATTATTAATATATATATATTTTTTTTTAAAAAAAAGAAAAAAGAAAAAGAAAAAGCCTTTCGCAACATTTTATCTCACATACTTATTCTTACAGAGTCGCCAAGCAGCCGTCAATGAATTGGTTGGAGAAGACTTACCTGCATGTGAAAAAGCGTATCAATCCGCTATTTACATGTTGAATAGTATTCTAGATGTTCCTCCATATTCCGAAGAAATGATCGGTAATGATGATCGAAAAGTTATAAATAGTTGTATGTACAAATTTTATTTTGTGCCTTTTTTATTTTACTGTGTATATATATATATTTTTTGTCTGTCTGTCGACGTTAAATTATTTTCTGTTTTACCCGAACAATTATAACATAATTGTAAACAGTTATTAAGGAAATTACCAAACGATTAGGTTCATTACAAAAGAAATTGGTTAATACAGAAATCCCAGTAGTAACAGGTCAAAATGGAAGTCTCGGATAACATTTACCGAATTGATTTCCTAATTAAAAAGATCAATTTAACATTATGGTAAAATAAATATGAATGAAAATTGAGAGAGTATCATTAAATAAGAAAATTAAATAAACAAGTTAATGAATTAGGGTGGAATCTTATATTGGCAAGAATCAGAAGGATTAATTTTATTTCAAATTATACATCCAATGAACATTTCTTTTCTTTTTTTTTTCGATAACCGAACATTTAAGAATACATTATCAAATTTAAATTAATTCCATTCTGTCTAATTAAAACTGCCAATATGGATATCTAATTTTACTCTCTCTTAAGAATGAATATGCTTAATAAGTCATTGTATTATATACTGAATTAGAATTATTTATTAAATTGACTTATTAATTTTTTTTTTTTTTTTGTTTTATACAATTATTAATTAAGCTTGTTTTTTTTTCCTATAATAATTGTATAATCAAATAAGATATAATAAAGACAAACCATTCAAAATTTGTAAAATTATTTATTTTCTATTTGTATCCAAAAACTTACTTTATGCGCAATAAATTAATTTGTGACAAAATAAAAATGTAATAATTTACAACTTAAATAAACATTAATACTGTTTATACAGTATCACAAAGAACCCAATTTTCACCATCCTCATTTTCATTATCATCTTCAATATCTAGAAAAGAAAAATCATTTATATCATTTATTATATGTATAGAAATAGAAATATGTTTTTATTTTTTTTTTTTTTTAAAAAAAAAAATAATTACCTCCTTCAAAATAATCATTTAAAGTAGTTCCGATAATATTATAAATTAATAAATCATATTTTATATCTGAACCATTTCTAGGTGCCAACATCATTCGTACAACTTCTTGAAAATCCAAATTAAATGATTGATCAGGTTGTCGATAAATTTCAGTAAGATGTCCATACCTTGACGTTTGAAAAGGAAGTTATGGTAATGAAGAACCTCAAAAATCACTTTAGGTTTAATTCGACTTACCTTCCAAGATTAGAAGCATGGCAACAAAGAAATAAATTATGCAAAGTATGAGGAACTTTATGATAAGGTATTTCAATACCTTGTGTGTGACATAAATAAGCAATGTTATAATTCAACATAGCCATTCCTACGGTAAACCCTTCTAGATTTTCGACTGTTAAAAAGAGCGGTGTCCTTTTACTATTATTATATAAGTCCTTATCGTTATTTATATCCTAAAGGAAAAATTTTTTTTTTTTTTAAAAAAAAAAATTCTCTACCTCCTTTCTGTTATTTCATTTAAAGTGCCTTCTGCGCATGAATTTGATCCCTTATTTACTAAGGTAAATGGAAGATTCACACCAAGATAATGCGCTATTAAACCTAACATATGTATTACGTGGCCCACCGCTGTATTAATTTCCTCCAATTGATAATCTACAAAAAAAAAAAAAAAATTTAATCAAGTTAAATTGTTTATTTGAACAAATTTCGTAATAAAATTAATTACTTGTAAAATCGGCTTTTCTCGGCAAAGTTCTTCCAGCAATAGAAAATTCAAAATCTTCATTTTTTCCATTTCCATTTGAGGATAAAGAAATTACATTATTTTCTATATTGATACCTCCATCATCGTTATTTTGATAATATTTTATTTCATAATCATTTAATTTTTTTAAATCAAATATCGAAACCAATTCACTTATCAAAACTTTTCTTGACTGGATTAAGATTTGATGTACATTGCGCCAATTTTCTTTAATATTGTCAATATCTTTTGTTATAATGGATTTTTGATGTGATTTAAATTTTTTAAAATAAGTATGCGTATCTAATAATAATTGTCTTCTTGATCGTAAAATTTTTTTTCTTGATTCGATTTCTTGACGATCTATATTTTAATACGGTAAAGTTAGTAACTTTTTTTTTTAAAAAAAAAAAATAAAAAAAAAGAATACCTCTACTTATTTCTTCTTTTCTTTTTTTCACTTCGATTTCCAAGTTGTTTAGTTTTTGTAATCTATTATGTTTATCAGCTAAACTTATTTGAAGATTTCTAACAGAGCCTGAAAGAAATTTATTAGCTCGCTCTATTTTTTGCTGTTTTACTTGAAATATTTTTTTGTATTCGGCATTATACGTTTTTAATCTATACAAAGATATATATAGTTTTATTTTAGAAAAAATGAAAACTTATCAATAACTCTTTAATAAGTATAATACCTTTCGCGGAGACAATTTGCACAATAAAATTTACGATGGTAGTTATGACAAGTTTGACACTCCATTTTTTCCTAAAATCAAAAATTTTTTTTTTTTAAAAAAAAAAAAAACGGGAAAAAAAAAACGCAATACATACATAAATAACCATCAAAGATTAACCTTTATAATTAAGTGACACAACATTGGCTGATTTTAATGAAAACAATGAACCATCAAAAAAAAAAAAAATTCTCATTCATTCTTTCCATTTTTTAAACAATGACCGATTTTATTGGATACACTTATGCCTTTGTAAATATTAATTAACGATTTTATCATGTATAAGTTCGAAGTTTAAATATAATATTAACGAACTTAAGTCTTTATTCTTAAAATAGACTATTGCTTTAGGTGGTTTATTTGGCTATTTAAAAGCAGGTTGTTGAGATAAATTCAATACGTCTTGTATTATCAGACCTTTTTAACTAAATATTTCATTGTAACTAGGTAGTATGATGTCTCTAGTAGCCGGCTTATCATTTGGTGGTTTAGCAGTAAGCCGAGTTATAATTCATTATCTTGTTTTTTTTTTTTGTTTCGCGACTATGTATTTATTATTGATCATCATTCCATCATTCTATTATAGGCATTCGCGGCAAATCGCGTAAGCACAAATCCAAAGAATGCCGGTTTAGCTTTAGGTAAATTTGATTCACTTTGAAAAAGAAATTTGAGTTTCTTAAAATCTTAACCTTTTTATTTTTTTTTTTTTTAAAAAAAAAAATTATTTGTAGTCGTGTCTCTTACATTATTCCTTGTAATGGGTGTTCGTTTTTATAAAAGCGGGAAATTTATGCCTGCTGGCCTCGTTACTGTTCTTAGGTAAAGAAAAAAATAAAAATAAATAAAAAATTAAAATATTATTAATATGTTTAAATTGAATTTAAAGTAATTTTACTCATCATCATCATCATTATTTTAGTTTACTTTCGGCTGGTCGTTATGGATATCTTGTAAATAACTAATTTAATATATAATATTTTATTTCTTTTTAAAATTTAATTTAAAAATAAATCAATATATATATAATATTATATAAATCAATCATTATCAATACCACAAAATTACTGTTAATGTGGAACATTCAAAGATATTGAACAAATTAAAGCCTACCCTCAATATAAACATAAATGAAATATATATATATTTTTTTTTGTAATAACATCAATACTATCGAAAGTTCAGTATCCAAAGACAGAGATTGATGAATTTCTTGCATTGTCATTTGTGAAGGACAGAAATTATGCAAAAGTTGTTAATCTTCTTTTTCTGTATTCTATTGAATACGCGATTTATTAAACATAAATAATGTTAGTTATAAGAATAATATATATATCATCTATTAATTGAAAATGATTTATTTACTAAAATAACTCAAATTTAAAAAGAAATACATATACAATAAGTAATAATTTTACATTGAATTTTACAAAAAAAAAATAATAATAAAAATGATTATCTAAAATATAGTCATTTTTTTACGACCTTTAGCCCTATCAAGACCACGTTGAATCTCTTGTTCTTTTCTTTTTAATAACTGATAGGTTGTTTCGATTTCATTTATTTTTTCTCTAAAATGATTAGCCATAGTAGGATCTTTCTTTTCATTTCTTTTGAATGATTCCTTTGCTTTTTGAAGTTCCTGAGATTTTTGATTAAGTTGATTTTGAAGTTGATAAAGTTGTAATTGACTAGCTTCAGATGAAAATTTATGAGAACGATCAGTACTACTATTGTTTGACGATGATCCAGCTGACGTATTGCTTTGTAGTGAAGATGTCGATATATTACCAACTCCGGTCATATTACTGTTGTCACGATGTTTGCCTTTATTCAATGAAACATTCAAAAAATCAAAAACTGTTTGTTGAGGATCCGAATTATTATCGTTCGTGCTCGACAAATTAGAATACTCAATTCTATCTTTGATTCTCCCATGTGAAATATGTGTTCCTGAATTAACAATTTTTGATCCTTCCGACTTATGACGACGGCGTCGTCGACGATGAGGACCTGTCTGATCAGCTTTTCCCTTCTTATCAATAAAATCCAATGAAACTCCTTTAGTAAAGAGCTTTACTTCAATCGGATTCGTAATGCCTTCGCTGTTCTTTCCCAAACCTTCGCCCTAAAAAGAGTGCATTTGAAAAAAAAAAAAGAAAAAAAAAGATCGTATAGATCTACTTTCTTACCTGATACGGAGCAAAATTTAAATAAAGTAAATGTTCTTATATTTTAATCATTACCATTTTATATCCCATTTTTGCCATCATCCGAGAAGCGACGCCTCTTGTATGCTTTTCCCACTCAGCAAATTGAATCTGAGTATCGTTTTGATCATTGGAGGAACCATCATCATCGTTAATAGTACCCAGTCCTATCTTTAATGAAGAAGAATCACTTTCACTTAAGCTAGCACATTCATCGGAATATTCGCTGAAAGAACTCTCCTCGTCAGATTCATCGTGTTCGTTCTCGAGTCCAACGACAGGTATAATTTCATCATGGGAAACCACAAAACCATTCGGATGCTCATTCTCATAACCCTTGTAAATTATTCTAAATCCTTTACCACCTGTTTCAATACTTATGAGTTTAGCCATGTACCAAACTTCATCATCTTTATATTTAGCCCAAAAATATCGGCCAACTTGATAAGCATCCATATTCCCAATATTTAAAAGTTCATAAGGTGTTACAAGTTCAAATGATATCTCCTCTCCATGAGAACAATTATATGGACAGGGTGTCGTTTTACATTGGGAGGAAATATATTTTTCACAAATGCGAGTTGATTGGGTAATTGGGGTTAAAATCAAAACTTCACAAGTTTGCTTCTCAGCATTGATACTATGTATTAATCCTGGTAAAAAGTACACTTTCTCATAGTCTGGATGGGTCCATGGAATGCAACATTTATTACCCGGTTGTACGATTTCCATGTCTTCATTATTAATAATTAAATTGTTTTGTGCTATCATATCAGCGTCTTCCGCCTTGAAGTTTTTCCCAAGACAAATAAGTCAAGTCAGTACAATATAATAATTTTTTTTTTTTTCCCAAACAAAAATTTAATTAGGGTTTCCGTTTGAGAATTTGATATTCGAATATCGAAAAACATTTTTTACTTTCAGTAAAGATGCTTGCCGATACTACCCTTCTTAAGTTCAAAACTGACGAAACTAATCTTTTATAATTGACGAACTATTTTTTTTTAATTGCCGAAAATTATGAATTCTTTGAAACAAAATATATTAAAAAAATATATTTAATTAGTTTATATTTATTATATAAAAAAAAACATTGAAAATTGACGAAACTACATTTTTGTAGTTTAAGGCAAGCATCTATAACTGCTTTGAAAGTTTGCTGCCCGATAAATTCATAAAACTCATTTGGCATTCAAATTGGTGCAATGAGACGGTCTACTATTGATAATTTTTGATATTCGAAAACATTTTGATATTCGTTTGAAAGTACTTTAAACGGAAACCTTAATTTTAAAATATATAAAAGTTCTCACCGTTTTTCCACTTTCATCATTCTTTTCTTCAGATAAACCAAATCTCGAGAGCAACTCTTTTTTTTTCGCTTGTAATATTTGATCCTGTTGTAACTTTATCAAGTTCTCCAATTCTATAGCAAGGTTCTTTAGTTCAGGTTCTTCTGGACTAAGAAGTAAGAGCTCACTGATTTCTTTTAAAGACTCTTCGTTTTCTTTAAGCGAACTCTCTAAATCTGTAGTAGACATGTTTGACGTATAATTTCCAGTTAATCCGCGATAAATAGATTTAAAAATCTTTTCTATTTTTGGAAAATGTTCAATTCATTTTATAAAATAACCAATAAAACATGAAGATCGTATTTCATGATTAGCACTTAAGATTCAAAGGGTCTTAATCAAAATGATCTTTTTAATTTTTTCATTTGATTGAAGAGTTTTTGATGTGGGTTATTTATAGAAATCCGTCCAAACATCACACGGTTAAAATTTTTTTCATGGAAAATGCCTTGATTTTGACATGTATCATAAATACGTGATCCCAATTTAAACTTTTTGTTCTTGTCGCAAAATGGAATTTGTGAAACGAAAATCAAAAATAAAATTACATCATCATTTCATAATGCAAGCCATCTGCGCCTTGTATGAGGAACATGGGTTAGTTTTGGGCTTTTTTTAAATATTTACACACACCGTTTTTTAAATCATCTTTTAAAATCGAAAACCTATCTTCCTATTAGGAATCTAAAATACATAAATATCTTAAATGGATCGAGCTAAAAAAGTAGTGAACGAAAAACACGAGCGTATCCTGCTCGAAATGACAAAACAGCCTGGAAACGATACTTGTGCAGACTGTGGTGTAAAAGGTCAGTTTATCACCTTTAAGCTAAATATATTTTAATTTTTTTTTTTTTTTTTTTTTTCACGCTTTATATGTCTTTTTTTTTCCGTTTTAGTAGGATACGATAACTTCAGATCTATTATATCATTATTTTAATCTTAATAATTTTAATCAAACATTACCCTTCTTTTTGAAAACATGTAGGACCTCGATGGGCTTCTCATAATCTTGGCTTATTTCTTTGCATACGTTGTGGTGGTTTACATCGTAAAATGGGTACCCATATTTCCAAAGTCAAATCAATATCTTTAGATTCTTGGACATCAGAACAAATCGAGGTAATTGGTATTTAATTGATCGGAACTTTATTATACTCTTTAGCTAATTTGAACGTCTCGTTGCCTTACTTCATAGAATATGCGACAATGGGGAAATTTGAAAGCTAATGCCAAATGGAATCCTCGTCCAGAATTTCATCCTGTGCCAGTTAATGCTTCTGATAGGTAATCTTTCACTTCATACACGTGAATCCCTTTTAACATAGTAAATCTTTAATAGTACCCCCCCCCCCCCCCTTTTTTTAGCGAAATGGAAAGGTACATACGAAACAAATACGAAAAGCAAATTTATCGTGAAAATCCTGATAAGGTATGTAATATATTTATATCTTTTTTGTATATCAAAGAAAGGATTATTTCGATTTCTTTAACTTTTATTGTTATTTAATTTATCGATTCAAGCAATCAACACATCTTTCGTCTGTTGCTCCTCCGTCAACACCTCCACGTCGTCCAACGAACAATTCCATCTTAAAATATAATAATGAACGTAGGAATCATGATCTCGCGCTGCGCCAACTCAAAGAGATGGGATTCGATGATAATACTCGAAATCGCGAAGTTTTAGATACTACTAATGGGGATCTTGGTGCAACTATTGAAATTCTCTGTAAACTTTCTAAGAGATCAGCGTCACCTACTCCTCATACTACTACTCCTACTCCTACTACTCCTACCCCTAGTGCTCCAGGGATTTCGAGTAATGATAAACTAACTCAATTATGGAATTTGGGTTTTCAAGATGAAACAAAGAATCGTGATGCTCTTCGACACACTGGTGGTAATGTTGAAGTAGCTGCTGCACTATTATTGGAAGCTCGTAATCCAGTGAACAATAATTCTAGTAAAGTCAATATTGCAAGTCACAATCCTATAGCCACTTCCCAAACAGAGAAACAACGAATGCACGTTAAATTACCAGTTTCACAACCCAGTCAATCACTTTTAGACTCACCATCCTCGCAACAAATCTCATTTCAACAGTCACAAATAACCGCTCAAAATTCATCTCAAAACCTTTGGAATTCGTTTGGATCTCAAGGAACCGGTTTGTTAAACTTATTGTCCCCTCTCTTTATTTTAGTTCTAAGCTCATTAATAATTTGTTTTTATGATTCAAAGGTAATTCACAACAGCAACAGCAACAGCAGCAACAACAGCAACAGTTTCAACAGCAACAAAATAAATTTGATAAGAATGCGATTCTATCGTTATATAGTACGCCTCAAAAATCACCATCTAATGTATTTAGTTCAATGAACAATGGAACGCAATTAAGACCAGTCAGTTCCGGATTTGGGCAAAATCAAAATCAATTTAGTCAGGTTAATCAGTTTACTCAACAAAATTTAACAGATATAGGAGGAAACGGTTTTAATTCCAACAAACCCTTTGGAAATATGGGACCTCCTATATCTGGTTCAAACGGGATGAATGGAATGGGAAATCCTGATTTACTCGGAATAAATTTTAACACAAATAATTCTAATACACACAATAATGTATTAACAACTAATGGTAACTCGGTATGTAAAGTTATTTTTAACTGAGTTTTCTTTTTTAATTGATTTTTCTTTTTTTTTTTAAAAATAATAATTTTATTTTCAGTATGGTGGAATTATGCAACAACAAAATTCAATGATTACACCTAGAATGATGCCAGATCGACAAAATTCTTTACCAAATTTTGGAAACGTGTCTACTTTTACCAATAATACACCGGGATTTGGTGGCGAATTTGGACAGTTGCAGCAACAGGTTACAACTTCTAATTTTGCAATGCAACAGCAAAGAACATCATCAGGTTTTGGATTACAACAACAACAACAACAACAACGACGACAAAATTCATTTAATACATTTACGAATAATACTAATAATAATCAATTGAATAATAATAATAATAATTTATTTTCTGCTACTGATAATGAATTAATGAGAAACACAAATTCTGGTTGGCCTAATACGAATAATTTTGGAAGGTATTAATCTTTTTTTTTTTTTTAGTAAACATTTATTTTTTTGATTAATTTAAATGGACTTTAAAGTTTGAGGAAATAATATATTTAATTTTATTAATGTTTAATCCAATTTTGAAACAATAATAAAAGATTTGTTTTAAAAATATTAAAATAAATAAATAAGTTATTACAGAGTAATGGTTTAGAAAAACATATATATTGTATATATGTTGTATGTATGTATGTATGTATGTATATATTATATACAATCAAATTTTCTCGATGTTGGTATTCAGATTTCTTAAATAATAACGATAAATATAAACTTTGCCATATATATAATTCAAACTTATTATTATATTAATCCTCACTAATATCGCTTGGTGGATCATTATCATCAGAATCATCTTGGGCAATATCACTAGCATCCTAAAAAATAATATAATTTTTTATTAATAAAATATTATTTAAAATTTATTATTTTTTTTTTTTTATAAAAAAAAAAAATGTACAAACCACTTGTAAGGCTAAAGTCGCTTTTTGAAGTAAGTTTTTTAGTTCTGTATTTTCCGAATCAACTAATTGTTGAGGTTTTTGTCTATTCTTATTAAGTTTGCTAAAATCATTAAAAAAAAACACTTAGTTTTTTTTTTTTTTTAAAAAAAAAAATTAGTACAAATTATTAAACATACGTTGGGTCCGCTCCATGTTTTATCAATAATTTTACTACAAAAATAATTTTATAAAGAATCAAATTTTATTTTTATCATCATTATTATTAAAAAAAGGGGGGGAGGGGTGGAATATAATACCTATTTCTAAAGCCACGGAAGGATCATCTATATATTGTACGGCTTTATGAAGTGGTGTATCATATTCCAATTTATTTGGTAAATTAACATTGATATTTGGTTGTCCCAATAGCACTTCAATGGCAGTAAAAGATCCGAATTGAGCACTAAAATAATAAAATAAAAAAATAAAGGAAATTCAATCAATAAATCATGTTTCCAGAAAGAAAGGAAAAAAGAAAAACGCGTGTATTTCTTTTTTTCTTTGAACAAATAGCTTAAATGAAGATATAATGGATATAATACGCGTAATGGAGTGCGGAGTTTCCAACAGCATCGGAATAATTTATATCATAGGTATCCGGTTGAGAAAAAATATCCTCTAAAATATCTTCCGAGTCCTGTTTGGCTGCAACCAAGAGAAGTTCATCTATCATACAAGAGAGAAAAAACAAATCAAAAATTGGTAAATTAATGTACAATTACATTTTTTTTTTTTTTTTTTTTTTTTGTAAAGTTAAATGCATTAAAAAACTCACTATTTGATGCTCCTTCCGAGTCTGCCATAAATTTTTTATTTTTATATGAAAAAAGAAAAAAGAAAAGTTTTTTTTTTTAAAAAAAAAAAAGTATAAAACAAATTTTTACTACTAATGCTTGTTCATTTCAATAAATTCCACCCAAATAAGGATAATCCAAACCTATAGATATTTTTAGTTGACCAATCAAAATAAAAGGACATTTTTTACAAAGTTATATATAGTGATACATAAAAACATATAATTAGTCCGGAGCGTGCTCGAAATTTGAGTCGATACGTGACTGGTCCTTTTCTTTACACTACCTAAGTATATGACGCTTCCCTCCGCTCAATAATTGAGTCGATGAGTCGATGTTATGGCGTTTACCTACAATTTGCACAAATTTTGTGATTACAAAAATTTTGCCAAATTTATAGTGCGGTTGAGGATTTTAGTTCCAAACCTCTGGATTTAGGTTGAAGAGAAATGAGGCGCCAAGCCTTATTCCATTAAATTATTAGAAGATTGTAAATATTGTTTCAAACTTTTTTTTTAATTTGAGAACTTGAAATTTTTGATTGGTCACCATACAAATAATCTTCACTTTCATCGAGAATTCTTTTGCTCCGTTAGCAGATATCAATTTTTTTTGCAAAATCGCTTCGGACTTGACAACGGTCCCCATTTCCTAGTGTTAATTAACGGTTAATTAACCAAATCTTAATTAACCGTTAATTTCCCATCCATACTTCCGAAATCCAAAACCTCCGAAATCTTCTCCGAAACCTATTTAGCTATATAGGTTGATAATCAATTTTTTTTTTTTACTGTAGTTATGAAAAGTGAACAAAGAGGAGGGTCGGTCTCAAGGAAAACAATACTTTGAACGCTCTGAAAATACACAAGATGGTCATGCTCGTGCTATTTGCGAGTTTCGTGGTTTCTCTTTATATCGAGGTGAAAGTGCAAAAAGGCACATCGCTAACCACTGCAAGAATGCACGAGAATACCTTCTAGTTCTGAAAAAACATACTCCTCTTCCTCTAACATTAAATAAGAAAATCCATAAAACAAAGTGAAGAATTAACATTAGGAATGGAGGAGGCTTAAAAACTTTATGTAAAACGCGCTGGACCATTTCCAGCGAAAGTGTAAACTCTGAAATTAGATTCTTAAAGAGGTATTTATTATCATATGATTTTATTTTGTTTTTTATTATTATTTAAGTCATTTCTTATTTTACAGATGGGTAGTCAACCAATAATTATATGATAATGCCCGTGGAATAATTTGTAACAATTATTTGAAACTGTATAATTATACCGTATTCTGTGAAGTTAGTATAAATAATCAAATCCGTCATATAATTCTTTTGACGACTTAAAAATATTATAAATTCAAATTCGAGAAACAGTATTAGTCTTATTAGAAGGAAGAAAGTTACGCTAGGTGATTCTTTCTTTTCATTTGGCACGAATGGTCATGAGACTCAGGGGACAAGACAATGTATCATTTTATGATCATTGTATTACAAAAATGAATGACCGATTCTGAGAATTTTAATGATTACTTTTTTCCGAAGTTTATTTATCATTTAATTAACTATAATAATTTTGGAATATTATAATCCCATATTAGTAATCTTGAAGCAATGAAAATTTTTTCATGTTAAATGTTCTTTTATATATTTTCTCATTGAGTTTTGGTCATTTGATTCGCATTCGTTGTTGGTACCTTATCCTTCGTTGTCAACTTACAATTGTGGAAAACGTTTGCAGAGTCGTTCGTTATTGTAATTATAAATAAAATATATGTAATGACGAAATACAATTGTATGGATCATATAGCTCATTAATCTCGAACAACACACCATATAGTTTGCACGTAAAATGAACTGCCAAAAAAAAAAATAAAAATTGTTCAAAGAAACTAGTTTCGGTGGTTTCGGAGTTTCGACACATCTAATAGCTAATTGAATGTTTCGCAGTTAAATTTGATTGGTTATTTTAAATCATATGATTTGATGATAAATTCATAAATTTTTTTTTTTAAATATATAAAATCATTTTTTTCTTTTGGCAATAATATTTATTTACAACTGTAAAATGGATATACCTCTCCAAGTGCACCCCCTCGGGACCGGGCATAAGAGGTGTATTGAGAGAGGGTGTACATGAAAAGAAAATATGCATTTTAACAAAATGTTCTTCATAGGACTTGCTTCCGAACGATCCAAGGCTTTGAAGAATCCGGTATTTATTAAAGGTAAAGTAATGATTTTTTTTTATAAAAGGAAATTCTTTAAATATGTGATTTTATTAATAATTAAATTAAACAAGAGAAACAAAATAGAATTCCCATACGCAACTGTTTTTTTTTTTTCAAATGGGATACTAGACTAAATGGAACGATTCATTGGATTAAAAAATTTTATTCTTAAATTAAAGGGGTGTCGTTAACTTACGAAGGGCATAATTCCATGGTTGAAAACAGTCTCTTCAGGAATTCCGTTTTTTGTTGCACAAGAGAAAAAAAAAATTATATATTAGCATGAACGTTTATGCATCGAATCATTTACTGATATTATCAATGACTTCATCGTTCTCGACTTTTATCAGTTACTTAATCACCAATGAAAGTAAATGAGGGTATCTAAAAAGGAAAATTTTAAATAAAAAAATATCGAGGGCGTCTTTGGATTAACCTTTTTAGTTGTGTATAAAAGCAACCGGCTATGAGATAACTGGGTGCCGTGACCTTATTAATTTACATTGTCATTTACTTTTCGAGAATTGACTTTGGGGGTGGAAGGGTCATTTCTGAACGTAAAAACCTTGTTATTTTTTTACTTTATTTTATTTACATTACACACATATATTTACTTTTACGAAACGCAGCTCCATTTCTGCGAATAAGAGAGTTTCGGAGTACGCGTGCCGGAAAAGTAATGATTCATTGAAGAATTACTAAATCAGTTCTCATTGAAATTCAATTAATTTGTAATTTCGAAATTGCTGCGGTTAAATGCTGCGGGTGATTGCTGCGGGTATCGCAATCGTTCTTAATATATATATAGACATATTAAAATTTTTCATTTTCAGGTTTAAAAAATTACACACGATATTCGGTATCATTTAAAATAACATGAATTACAAAAAAAATGTATGTAGAGATTTATTTCGCATTCAATTACCTTGCAAAAAGTACAAATATATAATATATAATAATATAATTGTTTCTCAATTTGGATAAAAAAGCCTGATCAATAATAAAAAAAATTAAAACTCCATTTGGTTTACTTTTTGCATTAACAAGATTATTTATTACTTTTAAAATAAATAAAAAAAAAAAAAAAAAACGTTCGTGTTTTGATAAATTAAAAAAAAACGATCAACTACTTTTTTATTTATATTAACGTTACTTTATACCATATATGTACTTTATACCATATTCAGTCAAAAGCTTTGACCTTGTGACCTTGCTATCTTTTCTCAACATGTTTGTTGTACAAGCTGAAACTCAAAAACCGATAGCAACAAACTTCTGATCAAGTATAAAAATATCCTTTCTGTCATTTTTTTTTTTTCACTCAACGTGTTTTCCTTTTTTCCTTTTTTCTCCTAACTTTTTCTCCACTCTAAATAAAAAAAAAAGGAGTAAAAAAAAAAGCGGAATATAAAGATATACTGATTTAATTAAAAATCAAACGAAGAAAAGGATGTCTCAAGGTAATTAATTAATAATCATTATATCATTTATTATTTTATTATTATTTTTAATTTAAATAATTGATCGAAAGATGATTGTTTCTTCTAACCACGTTTCCCCCCATCTTTTTTATTTTCCTTTCAAAAAAAAAAAAAATAAATTTTTTTTTTTTACTTTTGTCTATTTAAAATAATATCTTTCGGATTATTCAGATTATTACGGACGAAGCACACGTTTTGCGGGCTCTTGGAGCGTTGTTAATAATGAATTATATGATGATGATGATCATCGCTTCGCACCTTCTTACGCCACTGATACATGGAGCGTATTAGGTTCTCAAGACATTAACGAAGATCGGCTTTCAAGTTTGCCGCCGAATTTTGGCGCTCTTTCTGAACTGGATTATGGATCATCGACTTCCACGATACGTCAACAAGAAAGGGATCCTTCGTCGCCTCCTGAACTTGAACCAGAATTTTTTCCTTCTATTTCTTCAACAAGAAATTTTCTTGAAACTACTGAAAGGTTTGAACGTAGAAGACAAGAGGATATCGTTGGTAGACCCGATGAATTCGAGGCTAGTCTTCCTCCTCCTCCTTATCAAACATCGCCTCCATACTCGGATATAACACCTCATGATTTTTCTTCATTAAATGAAGATTCTCAATCTAACATTAATAATACTATTAATAATATTGAATCAACCACTTCAGCATCCTTATCATCTTGGATAGTCAACTTTTTAATTGCTGTGATACTCGCTTTTGTTGCTTATTACATCAAGTCGGGCTTTTCCTTTGAGTTTTTCGATGATCTTTTTTAGAAGAATAAGCAATCTATTTTCACTTTTTTTTTTTGGTTTTTTTTTTTTTATTTTAGAAAAAGAATCTTTTTGATGCTTTCTCATTGTTTGTAATATTTTTCACTTTTTCGTGTAAAATTATTTTATTTTATTTTATTTTATTTCTTTTTTCCCCAAAGATCCTTCCGTGAAAATAGATTACAACCTCTTTTTTTTTTTCGCTTTGTAAATTTTTCTTCACTTTTATAAATGTGATTGTTTATAGAGTCAGTCAATTTCTTTTTCCTTTTAATTTTCTTTTTCTTCCTGCTTTTGTTAATATTAGTGTATATCTTTTTTCTTCATATATATCCGCGTGTTACATATCTTTAAATAAAATTGTTGCATTTTTTTTGCAAATTAAAATGTATAATAATATTATATATATATATATATATATTTTACCGGCTCAACAGTAAATTGTACTTCTTTCGTTGAATCATTATTATCCTTTCGATCGACAAACCCCCCTTAAAAAATAATCAACCCTTAAAAATCTGTCAAACCTGATTATGCGAACCATTTTAATTAAACTAAATTTGTCCCAAGTTTTTCTTGTAAAATTTGAACTTTGTAACCAAATTTAGTAACTGAAGCCTTTTTTGAAATTTTAGTCCTTTCTACTAATTTGCCAAAATATTGTTGCCTTTGCCACAATATCTAATGTTTCATCCCTAAGAGTAACCTCACATTCACTTTCGGGTTGTTCGCTAACTTCTTCAAGGTTAAATTGACAGATGGCTGTAATTAACCCTATATTTGTAATTCATTCGTTAAAATATATGAAGAAAACATATATATGTATGATATATTTATTTACCTCTTGCTTTTTTGAGATACTAATAAAAACAAAAAAAAAAATTTTTTTTAAGATAAATGAAATGTGAGAGAGAAGATCATTCGTTGCTGCTTACCTCCATATTAATTTTTGTAACGATTGCTCTATCTTTTTTGGTTAATTGACTAAATACCGCCAAGCCCCCAACAGTTTCGGCAAACGTACAAAGCGCCGCTGCGTGAATACAGTTAAAGGGATTGTGAACTCTCTTTTGTTCCTAAAAGGACTGTCGATTAACATAACATTTAAAACGAATAAAAAAAAAATGAAAATTAAAGGTAAGGTTAATAAAATACCTTTAAAATTCCGGAACAAATTCCCTTGTTGAGGGTTGTAATGCGCAAATCTGTGGTTCGTCAATTGATAAAAATCAGGTCACGTAAAAACGAAACCGTAAATCAAGAGAGATTCAAGTAATACTTACGAATACAAGAGACAAAAGGATTAGCGAAAGAAAGTAGATAAGAGTATATCAAAGGTCTAAACCTTCTTATGACAGGTTTATTTAAGGCATGCCATACCTTAACGGGATCACGTAAAGAAGTCGCTTTGCGTGATAAATAGGTAACTAAAGCTCCCAACACAACTGCACCGCCTAAAATGCTTAAAACCGTAGAATCCATCAATAGCAAAAAGTTTTAAGCAAACTTATGATTGGTTCGTGTAAGTGAAAAAAAAAAGGAAAAAAAGAGATGAAACGATGAAACGTTGAAAATAAGATGAAAAAAAAAAAAAAAAAGAGAAAAGAGAAAGATGAATAGGATATATATATACATGTTTGTAACAATGTGGCGCGTGTCACGTTCGAAAAAAAAAGTCATGTACTAAAATCTTTTGCCAATTAGAACGCTGAACTTTTTATAGAATTTATAAGAAATTATAGCTTTTTTTTTTTATTTTAAGATTTGAAATTAACTATAAAAAAAAAAATATTTTATTTAATAAAAAAAAGAATCCTTTCACTTAATATAAACGTTGAGGCTTGCCCATGGTGGATTTGATATATAAACTTCTAACGTTCTGCCAGTTTTTCTTTAACAAGGAAACCAAAAAGTTGATGCTCAACATTATGTTAGCAACCAATTCATCTTCACTCATTTTAACATGCCCAACCGCGACACCAAGACATAAAACTTTTTTAAGTTGAAACTTGATGGTGGATCTTAATTCATCCGCTTTAGCGTTCAAATCATCATTATGGGTAACGGGAGTAGGAAATTTACCGGCTAAGTGGCAAATGTTAATAATAATAATAATAATAATAATTAATTAATAAATAATTTGTTCAGGATATATATCACAACATAACCATAGTTAAAAACCCACCTTTGTGCAAACCGGGACCCAATAATCTTGGAATTTGTTTAATTAAAGATTCACTGGCCAAGAATGCGTCATACTTTTTGGCAAGTTTCTTGATAAGTTTTTTATTTTTATTTAGTTTCTTAAGATCCTCAACGCTCATGGATTCAAGCCCAATCTCTTTAGCTCTATCACAGTCATGAGCATCTCCGAGGATAGCTACGGACATCTTTGGTCGAGGGACATTAGGAAGTCTTCGATCATAAAAATTTTAAATCATAATTTTTAATTTTTTTTTTTATTTTTATTTTTTTTTTTTTTTGTAAATTTTTAACCTCTAGTTGGATGTCACTTACTTGACAGTTCCACTAAAACGTTTGTCTCTTTGAGGATCATAATTTTTTAAACCAATTTGTAATTCCATCGTCTCAGTAAATTTTCGGTCTTTTTCCTGAGATTCTTTTAAAACGATCCTTATTGACTCTCTCACGGCTGGCACTTGAATTTTACTACTGCTTATCAAAAAGGAATTATTATTATTAAACGTACATAAAAAGAAAACCTCACGATGAATTTATTATACCTCATTATAACGGATGAATTTGATTTACCACTTTAATATAAAGCAGATGGGAAAGAGGAGGATTTTTTTTTAATGACGAATTTAATATTTATATAAATCGAGATGTCACATGATTAAATCAGCCGAGTTTGTGTACCCGGGTTGCACGATAAGTCGTATGGAAAGCTATTAATAAAGTGACAAAGGGGATGTAAAAATAGGATTCACGTGCGAAATCATGCCCCGATCAAATTGAAATTTGGGTAACCCAATCCCTTTAAAAATGACATATACAAACTTGTTCATACTAGTTCATACTATACATGTTTGTTATATATCCTAACTCAATATTCCAGGAAAATTGGAAAATAAGGTTTAGCTTGAGCTCCTAAATTTTAACGATCGTTGGTACTGGTTCGATTACCGCTTATCCCGACAATTGAATTTTCGAAAATCCATCAAATCTTATTTTTTCAATTTTAATGGGGTTTTTGCAGCAATCAGAGAGGTTTGTACGCTGATTCAAAATTACACTTCGTTGTAGAAACATTTTATAACCCTTGTGTCCATCTTTGCCTCGTGGTTTAAAAAAATCTGTCTCAATTTGGTTTACTTCTAATCTAAAAGAGCAAATAAATAATAATTTGATGAAAATCTGATTTTTGATATTGATAATAATAAATCCAATAAATATTCTCGTTTTTTATCCTTTTTTTTTTTTTTTTTTTTTTTTTTTTTCTTTTTTTCTTTCTTACCTCCTTGTAAATTTATGTTCATGATTAAGAAAAAAAATAAATTCCTTCGCGTTCTTTAATAAAAATTTTTAACGCGAAAAATTCATTTTTTTTCTTTTCTCTTGTTTTAAATTTTACAATATAAATAACTTATTTCATCTATATCATAATAAAATATAACCGTAATATTTAATATATTCAATATTAATCCCTGAACACAGCCACTCTCATTCTATTAACGATGGCACCTCCAAATACTGAAACAATGACACTTCAACATAACTACATTAGTAAAGAAGACTTTGAAAAACGCGTTCAGGGTGGTCAAATACTTATAATATATAATAATAAAGTTTATAAATTGAACAAGTGGTTAAAATACCACCCAGGGGGGGAACTTGCAATTCGTCATATGATTGGTAAAGATGCTACCGACGAGATAAATGTTTTTCATCCTGAAGAAGTATACAAGAAGAAAATCAATACCTTTTACATCGGGGAATATGGGGGAAAGACTGAGGACTTCAAGGAAGAAAGATTATCTTTTGCGGAACAAAAGTTAATATCTCAAACTTATCGTAGATATTATTCAAAACTTCATGAACTAGGATTATATGAATGTGATTATTGGAATTACTTTTATGAAACCATTCGTTATGTTTTCTTAATAATTTCGGCAGTTACGTTGATGTTTTACGGAACTCAAACCTGGCATTTCTTAACTAGCGCAGTTTGTCTTGGACTCTTTTGGCATCAAATTGCATTCTCGGCTCATGATGCAGGACATAGCGGTATAACTCATAATCTACTCGTGGATAATATCATCGGTGTGATTATTGCAAATTTTATGGGAGGGTTGAGCATCGGATGGTGGAAAAGAAGTCATTACGTTCATCATATCATAACCAATGATCCTGAACATGATCCTGACATTCAACATTTACCATTTTTTGCCGTCTCAACAAAATTATTTAATAATTTATATTCAAGTTTTTACAAAAGAACTTTACATTTCGATGCGGTGGCAAGATTCTTTATACCCTTTCAACATTATTTATATTATCCAATCATGTGCTTCGGCAGATTTAACCTTTACGCATTATCAATTGATTTTTTAATTAACGAGGAAAATATGGCCTTTCGTAATTTAGAAATAAGTGGAATGATATTTTTTTGGTGTTGGTATATTTATTTGTTATCATTTTTACCATCGATACCATTACTTCTTTCCTACGTTTTAATATCGCACGCCATTACGATGATCTTACACGTACAAATTACTTTATCACATTTTGGTATGTCAACCGAAGATTTTGGACCTTTAGAGTCTTTCCCAAGGAAGATGTTGCGTACTACGATGGACGTTGATTGTCCTTGGTGGATGGATTGGTTTCATGGTGGTTTGCAATTTCAAGCCGTTCATCATTTATTTCCAAGAGTACCAAGACATAATCTTCGAAATTGTCAAAATTTGGTTAAGGGATTTTGTGAAGAAGTAGGGTTAAAATACCACATATATGGTTTTATTAAAGGTAATGGGGTCGTACTAGGAGCCCTTCGTGATATCGCGAATCAAGTTGAATTATTAGGAAAAGTTGCCAAATCTCATAATGATAGACATTTACATTAAGTGAAATAACGCAAATAGAAATTATCACGTGTATTATCTTTATTTTATTATTTCATTAGAATCAATCAACCTTTATTTTTATATTTTAAACCTCACGAATATGTTCTCCTGTTGCAATTACCTTAACCTGATCCCCAATATTAAGAGTAATACCTTGGATTTTAATAAGGATAAAAGGGATTCTGGTTAAACCTTGGAAATGATTAGAAATGATTAGTTCGCATTAATTTAAAATTACCTGGTTTATTATGAATAGCATTCATTCCTGTATTTAATCGAAATAAATTTTTCAGTTACATATAAAGAGATGCAAATTTTCATGTAAAAAAAAAATCAAGAATAAATCATTTTACCAAAACAACCCCTATATTTTAAACCTGGATCAACCCTACGATAAGATTGTAAAGTTTTTAATGGTTCCAATCCTTCCTTTTTACCAGTCTCGGGGTTTATCGTAGTCACTACAAAAATATTTGATTTCGGTTTGTAGAACTCTTACTATTTTTTACGTTTTAGGTTGTAATAATAAACACTTACTGACACAACGAGGACACTTGGTAACCACGTAAAATAAATGATCACTTATCATGATTTTTTTCCATCTGTCTTCTTCATAAGGTTTTTCACACCCTTTTATTACGATATTTGGCCTAAAATTACGACAAGTAACCGATGTTGTTAATCTTTTATTAAGATCCGATAAGGATTCTTCACTTAGAATTAAAAATGGAAAGACATCCGCAAATGCTGTCTAAGTAAAAAAAATTAGAAACGAATGAGTTATATAAATATTAAAAAGTTGAGAAGGTTTCCGTCACTTTAAATCTTACTTCAGGTTGTTTTAAAAGTTCATCCTTTGGAGGAAGATTTGTTCCAATTAATCTTGATTCTTCTGTTGATTTAAATACAATTTTAACTTTAGCCCCTAAATAATCTGAAATCCATTTGGATGATTCTTCACCACAATCAAATGCCATTGTAACATCGTCATGTATTTTAACTAAACATTTGGCATAACCTTCCTTACTGAAATTGATTTGTAATAAAAGGTTATCATTTTTTTTTTTTTAAAAAAAAAAGCAATCATCTTTTTTTTTTTTTACATACTTTGGTAAAAGTGGCAATATTAATTTTTGTTCATTTTTTGGGTTTTCTAATATTAATTCACCGCCATCATCATCATTTTCTTGAATGGTAGGTATAACGAGTGCAAGCTTAACGAGTACAAATTTATGAAATTAATTCAAGGGTTTTAATTTGAGAGTGAAAAGATAATCAACTTGAAAAAAAAAAAAAAATTTTTTACATTTGGATATTCACGTTGAGTTAAGAAACTATACTGATCATCAACCACCATCCAAAACCTATCATATTTAAATCCATATTCATTTACTTTCCATGAGTTAACTTTAATTCCTCTGCATGATTTCACGGGATAAATATAAATCTCCGAGATTTCTTTCATATTGTTTTGTCAATTTTTTTTGTAAAATTATCGGGTTTTATCGAAAAAAAAAGAGAGAAAAAAATTTTTTCTAGATATTTATATATAGTTTTAACTTGGATGATCCAATAGTTGAATAGTTTATTAGTAATAATTTTAATAATAATAGGTTTTCCAATAGTAAAATGAGGATGACTCACATCTGTTTATCCTTATGCTTCTTACAAGGAGAGGTTGTTAAAAAAAAAAAAAAAAAAGTCTAATACCTTTTAGGTAAATAAAATAAAGTTTGCTCAAAACGGTTTATTACTAATTCATCTTTTCATAGTAGATTAACACCACATATCAAGTAAACGAAGTTCAAAAAGGCATGGTTAAATTTTATAAAAAAATGACGACAATTAATAGACGGTTCTGTTTTATTAATATTTCTCAAAATTGGTAAGCTTTAATTTTGTAATTTAACCAGTTAAAAGTACACACGTTTTCGTTTTTTGAAAAACAATTGAAATGTTTCTAGGTGATATAAAAAAAAGGTATAATTTTTTTTAAGGTAACTGTCACATGATTGGTCAATTGATAATAACATTTTTTAAAGACAATTCTTACGAAAAATCTTATAATGAAGATAAACTTGTATCTTTTGCTTATTTACATATATATATGCAAATAGTTTATTAAAAAATTTTTTGAATCCGATTTTTTTTATCTTTATAATTGTTTTACAATTTTTAAATAATAATATTTTAAAGATTTTAAATTTTTTAAAATGAAATTTTAAAGATTAAAAAAAACTCATAAATATGATTTTAAATTTAATAAAACTAACGAATTTAGAAGTTTCCAAATTCAATATACTTAACAAAAAAAGCATTTGGATTAAATAACCAATTTCACCATTTCGTTTCTTGTTCTAAATATCATAAGCTGTATCAAAAACAGGAAGTAGTGAATTTTTAACAGAATAATATACTGACTATAATAAAATGTCAACATATAGAATTTCCTAATTTATCAATTTGCAAAATACGATTTTGCAATACTATATGGAAGGGTTTCTAGGAAAATTAGGTTTCGAGAAATTTTTGATTTAAATTAAGAGCTTAATATATTTTAATCTAATAACATCAAAAAACTAAAATGCAATAAAAATCTCAATTTTGTTAAAAAATTTCTAGAACCTGATTTTTCTAGCAATCAACCCATATTATCTCAAAAATCATATTAACAAATTGAACATTAATTTAGTCAAATTTAACCTTTCTGTTTTCTAAAATATAACAACAATTCACTTTTATATATCATTAGCTTAATTTTAAAATTAGCTTAAGACAATAGATAAATCATCAACGTTTTAACAATATTATGACTGATATATTTTATAATAAAATATGACAAATATTAAAAGAATCTTCTAAAGAAGATTTGGCAAATTTTTTTCAAGATGAAGTGATCAATTCTCATCTTGAATTAATAATAAATCTTGATTGATTCTAGCTATATAATAGTACTGCTTATAATATTGGAATAATATATCCCTATAAAAAATTTGCATACGTTTTTTTATTATTATAAATAAGTTTTGTATACGTTTTTTGAAATTCCGTATCACATTTCCTTATATTTTATAAGGAATTTTTTT